TTTTACGAAAAAAAGTCCATTGTACCAAAAATCTCAACCATTCTTCCTTGTGTGTGTAATGGTTTGAAGTGAAGGAAAACACACATAGGAGAAGATTGTTCAGTAGCCTTGAAATGGATATTTGGTTAAATGAGCAATTTTGAATGTGACATTTTTACTTTTACGTTCGTTTTCTTGTAAGTTTAAAGTTTAGGTGTGATCATTCAATAAAGCCATATTTCGTTATATACTCTCTTTATTGTAGGGCTTTGCATGATCCAGAAATTAGAAAAAAGTTTAAGAAATTCCAAACGTTTCTGCGGATTCTTGTGAAAATGATGGTTTACATTGTGTGTAAATACATATATTAATATAGGCATAAGTGGAATAAAAAAAGAAAAAACTCTATAGAACGAACATAAAATGGTGTATTTTATTCGGCTTTTAAGTTAAGAAAATGAGCATAAATTAGTGAAGTGGAAGGCAGACAAGTGGCGTTAACTTTAACAGCGGTATAATATGTTTGCATTCGTAAATATTAGCTTTCTGTCAATATTTAAACAATGAAAGTGATAGGTACTCGATCTATCACAAAGTAAAATATTTGCTGATTTTTTTTCCAAGTTGTTGTCTGCAAAACAACTGTGATGACACGAACGAGATCAAAGTACTCTTTGATTAGATGTAGAGCATGACGAAACTTTTTTTAAGCGAACGCCCGCGAATAAAGACGGGAAAATGTGTATGTGTATTCGTCAATTGATGCGCGTCATATCACCTCGCTATGTGTGCGGCTGTTGACATGTGGCGGTTTTTAATCGGCTCCTAAGGTTCTCAAACGGAACATTTTGCCGCAATTTCAAACTTAATGACTCGGTAACAACACAGAGACGCGCGCATCTTTCAGATTGAAAGTCGTGCTCAATTTTATTCGTTTCGAAGAAGTTCGACTCAGCATTTTTCTAGCTTCGAACTATTAAAAGTTTACTATGAACGTATCAATTGGTAAGAACTGTTTGATGGACATGCGAATCGGACGCATCCTCTTATATACTTTTCAAGTGTGGCCACATCGGTTGGCAACACACTGTATAATTCAATCCACGTACAATGACGATTCTAATTAAAGTCCACAAAATATTATCGCACACATTTTTCAAGATAACAATGTCAAAACAATTGATGGAATTACAATTCCACCTGTGCACGTGTGTTCAATTTAGCGTTTCACATCAAATGTTTTGCATTGAAAACATCAGATGT